AAAATGTGCAAAATCATGAAATTTCGTGAAAATAACGAAAAAAGTGAAAAATCATGCAATTTCGAAAAAATAAACAAAAAAGTGAAAAAAAGTGAAAAATCTTGAAATTTCGACAAAATGATTAAAAATGTGAAAAATCTGGATATTGCGACAAAATGATGAAAAGTGTGAAAAATCTTGAAATTTCGACAAAATTACGAAAAAAGTGAAAAATCATGAAATTTCGACAAAAAGATGAAAAATGTGAAAAAACTAAAAAATGAAAAAAATCTGGAAAATTCGACGTAATGATGAAAAATGTGAAAAAAGAGAAAATCTTGAAATTTCCACAAAATTACGAAAAATGTGAAAAATCTTTATATTTCGACAAAATGATGAAAAAAGTGAAAAATCTTGAAATTTCGACAAAATTACGAAATATGAGAAAAATCTTTATATTTCGACAAAATGATGAAAAAAGTGAAAAATCATGAAATTTCGACAAAAAGATGAAAAATGATAAAAAAACTAAGAAATGTGTAAAATCTGGAAAATTCGACGAAATGATGAAAAAAGTGAAAAATGTGAAAAATCATGAAATTTGGACAAAATGATGAAAAAAGTTGTCAAAAGTAAAAAATTTGAAAAATCTGGAAATTTCGACAAAATGATAAAAAATGAGAAAAAAGTGAAAAATCTTGATATTTCGACAAAATTATAAAAAATGTGAAAAAAGTGAAAAATCTTTATATTTCGACAAAATGATGAAAAAAGTGAAAAATCATGAAATTTCGACAAAAAGATGAAAAATGATAAAAAAACTAAGAAATGTGTAAAATCTGGAAAATTCGACGAAATGATGAAAAAAGTGAAAAATGTGAAAAATCATGAAATTTGGACAAAATGATGAAAAAAGTTGTCAAAAGTAGAAAATTTGAAAAATCTGGAAATTTCGACAAAATGATAAAAAATGAGAAAAAAGTGAAAAATCTTGATATTTCGACAAAATTATAAAAAATGTGAAAAAGTGAAAAATCTTGAAATTTCGACAAAATGATAAAAAAACTAAAAAATGTGATTAATCTGGAATTTCGACAAAATTATAAAAAATGTGAAAAATCTTGAAATTTCGACAAAAAAATGAAAAATAATGAAAAAAGTGAAAAATTTTGAATTTTCGACAAAATTACGAAAAATGTGAAAAATCTTCAAAATTTCGACAAAATGACCAAAAAAGTGAAAAAAGTGAAAAATCTTGAAATATCGACAAAATGATAAAAAAAGATGAAAAAAGTGAAAAATCTTGAAATTGCGTGAAATGGACTAAGATGATCAAAGTCCATGCGCATTGATATGTCGGATGTAACGAAATGTCAATGTCCACGCGTATAGCTTCTGTGATGGTTAAGAAAAATGTGTAAAATAATGATATTTCGGCAATATGATCTAAAAAGGGAAAATTTGGGAAATGTTTTCTCGAAAAAATATATTCAACTATCGTACGCGGCGAATTCATTAATATACATTTTCACAGGGAACGAGTGGTTAATCGACCTCATCGCTTTTCGTTACCAATAAACGTTGATCGTTGAACTTTCTTTCTTGTTCTAACGGATAGTTCTGATTTAGTCCATAACCTGTGGTACATATATAAAGTTGTTACTTAGTTTGCTAATATCAAAAAATTTTGCCAATTCGATAACGGATATACGTTTCGTCAGTTCAGCTACAAGTGACGAAGAGAAATTGCCGATCTAACATCGGACGCTGGATCTTCGTGAAGGTGAAGTTCTACTGGTGGTAAGTATATATTATTTATGGTAATAATATACTTTTCTTTCAGCTTTTTAACATTGCTAGGGACTTGAGGGATGCTCGAGGTATGACACACAGGCCGGTCGGACCCGGGTCCGTGAAAGAGGTCGGTAGTCGAGGTCACCAGGTCGTTGTACCTTCGACGGCCAAGATGATGACCGCCGGGGGTGACAATGTCACTTGGTCGTAGACCCCAGTGCACGTTGTGTCCTCTAGCTCGGGCAACCAATCATGAAGTTAGGACGCGCGCGAAAATCGTGATTGGCCCTACGTAGCTAAAATCATATCAAAAATGCTCTTTGAGCTACCATGGGGGAGTTGGTGCGCGCGGGCGCGACTTTCGATCGCGGGCGAAGGCTACCCAGCCTCTCGCGGTCGAGAGTACCGGGTGGGCGGACGTCGGCGGAAGGGACACGGGGGCGCGAGAGTACAAAGATGCAAGCCGCAGGGGAACCTATGCCCAATTTTTTTTTCATTGAAGCCTCTCGCGATCGAGAGTACAGGGTGGGCATATGTCGGCGGAATGGGACGCGGGGGGCGGGTTTCGATCACGGGCGAACGCTACTCGAACCCAACCTAGCTATTTTCGTAGAGTGGGGATGTTGAAATATACTATATAAATAGGACTCGATATATATTCTCAGTCGTCAGTCGTGGCGTGACTAGCCTACCGGACACACATCATGAGTGACAGCAGAAAATATGTTAAGCTGTGGGATCAGAGGGCAAGAAGGCCAACAAAAATAAGCTTGCCATTATTCTTACACGCGTCTTCGCGGTATAGCGAGTTCGCTTGCGTCGAGGATGACGGTGATCTGCGGGTGCTACCTCTTGTTAATCCGGATCCAGTAGCTCTCGATGGACAGCGACCTTTCAGAATGGTACGACGAAAAAATTTTTAAAATTTCGTGTGAAATGTTCGTAATAAGAAAGCTAATTGTTAAGATAATGATTAATAATTAAATGATGAGACAGTTGTTCGTAATCATTTTATTTCATGGATGTCATTACCTTACAGCCTACATTAGATCAGCTTGACCAGTACTTGAGAGAAATGGTCCAATGCATCGTATGCTATGAAACAGTCTCACCGCAGCCATTTCACTGCCCCAACAAGCACTGCCTGTGTAGGCCATGCCCAATTCGCATGAAAAATGTCTGCCCACTATGCAGATCTCGAGAGCAATTGATGTTACCGACGAGCATATTGTCGGCAATATTACGTTCGTACTCTCACGAATGCTGTAGGTGCAAAAATATTTATAATTACGAGTAATTCTGCGAGCATTATAAAGTATGCACAGCGAGGGCTGATGAAATATTTGGCGATGAGGCGAAGGACGTCGTAATTCTTTTATATCAAGAATTTTTGCCATAAAGTAGCCGAGCAATGCTGGTGGTCGAACGACGAATGCGAGCTCCGAGCCTTCCATAAACAGAAGGCTGTCCTCGTACACCTGAGGACCCTCGCAGACGCCTGGAGCATCGCAGTGGTCGGCGCACAAAGTACGCTATCCGACAGTACATCATTTCAGAGAACAAATAATAACTGATTTCTTTTATATAATTACCAGTCACATTTGCTTGCGAGTTTATTTTCTAATACGCCATCTACCTAAGCATCTGCAAACTACACCAAAAGATTTGACTTAGTAGGGTTACTGCGTTCGTTGGCCTAGTTGGGTTGGGTTAGATTATTGTCCTAATGGATTCAAATTCACAAGAAAGGAGTCATTAATCCAAAGGAAAAATGAATCCGTGCAACGTGACCCCCCCTAAATATTAACCTGTTATACGAGGGAACCCTTGGAAAATCGAGAAACGTAAAATTACGGGATGAAAAGTCACTTTTCTAGTAAAATATATTGAAAAAATTTATTTAAATAATTTCTAAAAATGTGAAGCGTTAACTATTGGGTAGCGTTTGGAAATCCAAAGAGATCAAGCCTTGGCAGACCTCCGGGGGTTGGGTGGTTGATCGGAAGGGATGAAAATCGAGTTTAAGTGATCGCAACGGATAAGGGCCTTTTTCACGGGGAAGGAATCGACAATCGTCAGTCGATGGATGCATTTACATATTGGAAGAAAAAACCAGCAAGTCATATGAACAACGTAATTGTCTCAAATTCCAGCGTCGTATCGCCAGTAACATTTCCGAAAATTTTTTTGACGTAAATTACATTGACGCATTGTTTTTGTGATACTCGAAACGATATATTTTAATGCCACACGTCTTAGGCTTCGTTAAGGACTAGGTGCATTACTTTCCTACAAGATTTATTGATGGACATTCTACAAGCATGCAATGATCGAGAATATCTGAAATAGCAACCAATATGTTGACGTTACAAAGAAAAGGGCAGGAACAATGTATGTACTAAAAAACTATTAATCCATTGCCTTAGTATAACTCGCATATTATAACTTGTGAACAGCAGCTGTTTCGGCAGCGCGATGGAGCGATGAGGAATTGTCCATTATAATTAAATATATGTTGCGCAATAAGGCGAGGTTGAATCGGATAGCAAAGGATCGTTAATTCACTAATTTTTGGCTTGATTGCAGAAAGCATTGTGATTCAAATGGTTTCTGCGAACATAGATCGACCAAAAATATTACCAACAGAGTTAAGAACTGACTGAGATCGATTTCATCGCAAACTCTGCAGAAAAAATTTAAATTAGTCGCAGGAGACATTATACTTTTGAAAAATTTATTGAAATAATAAAGACTTACGTAGTTTTGTAAGATATTCGGACGCCTCATCAGTGCCACATTTATTGCGCGAGTGTAGTGTAAACGTTGGACAGCAATGGTTGTAATGCGTGCGATAATGGGGCTTGCTTTACAAGCGAAGATAAACTCTTTAAACAATCGATTTATCTATGGCATTTCTTCTTATTCATTTATATTAGTGAACATAGTTGTTGCTGCAAGCACACCCCTCTCTCTACCCGGTTAATCGATTGCAGAAGGTATCAGTCACGGAAGTTTTCAGCTTTGATTGGAAGTGCTGGGAGAGACAACAATGATCATAATTACGACCAACAAGGATGTCATCGAATCAAAGGTAAGCAAGATTGATAAGACAAATTAGTTTAAAGATATTCTTGTTGCAAATTGTGAGTATAGGCGAAATAAGGTATATAAACAAATGTAAACCATATTATTTTTAAATTTTTGAATAAAGTATTTATGTATCATACTTATTATTTCCATCTTTCTTTTTTGTCATCGTACAAGACTTATTTTAATTTTTATATCCATTTCATTAATATTGTTTATACAAACCGTTGTAGACGCAACTCCTTCATTCGTCTTCTCATTCAAAATTTGTGCCTTCCGAGATGGTCGATATTTTTGACCTTGACTAGAGTACACGCATGATACCGCGTATCGTACAGCGCATACAGCGTGCGTACCAATAGTTATAAAATCCCCCCCCCCGAGAGAAAAGGTAATTCTTACGCATCTCCACTCTGTTTTTAATTTATTAATTTCTATTGTTCTATTCAATACTTCAACTTCTACAATAAAGTGTATAAATTCTTTCAATCCTTTGTCCCAAATATATAACGCTTTCCTAACATTATTTTGTATATCGATGCATAGACAAAAATAATTTAATAGAGTTTATTAAAGTTTAATTGCTTACTTATATTATTATATTGTGCCAAATAATTATTTACAAATACATTAATAACATTCATTTCCTTACTTTAATTTAAAGTATTGAAGATTTAAATAACATGTTAATATCGTTTCAAGCTGAATCAGTTTGAATTCAAGATAGGAATGACGATATCAATCTCAGTTTATTTGCAACCTTTTTTACATGCAAAAGACGCATGCTCGTAATGTTTTGAATAATTACTTTTTTTAATTACGTACATCATTTGATTTAAGGCCTATTGATAGATTTTTCTTAAGTTTACCATCATTGAAATCTATTATATATTTTTTCAAATTAATGTTTTACGTACTAACTCGAAGTAATACTGACAAATAGTCGTATATTTCGGATGAAATTCTAAATTCTCAATCCTGAATTCTAAATAATACTTGTAATGTTTTGGCAACAGTAGAAATATCGATTATATAAAAATATATTATTATAATATTTGCGAAAAAGCACGTATTTCTTTTTCTTCATTTGTGCAAAAGTTTTCTCAGTCTTTTACTCATGTAATATGGCCGCTCTTTTGAACCGTCGTTTCGTTCACAGTCTTCAAGAAAGCAAAGAAAAAGCGTATCAATAGCTGCTGCCTGAACTTTGAAAAAGACTGTTGCTATTAAGAAAGACGTGATAGTAGTCATTATCACAGGAACAGTCCAGAAATAAATTTTTTCTGTTTGGTATTTGTTGTAATACCACGTCGTCGTCGTAACGGTGACGCCAGTGATGAACAATTTACCTAATAGTAACAGCCAGCTCGTAATCTGAAAATCAATAATAATTAATTTTCGTAAAAAAGGGAAATTGAAAGTCGAAAAAATTAACCTTGTTTATAACGACAACTCTGATGACATTTCGCATTAAAAGATTGAATGCGTCTCTGGCAGAGCGACAAAAGCCTTTGCCATGAACAGCACACATAACATAGGCATTGTTATTGATAAACTTTAGAAATTGCTCAAGCAAATAAAAGAGGCATCTACAACAGCACATTATTCCGTTCGCAAACTCGTTATTGGCGCTTTTAACTTTGTCATTTAACCACTCCAAGATCAGACGAATAATACGACAGATAGTTAATATGAGAGCACCCAACGCCAATGTTCCCAAGTGATATCTACGGAAAATAAAAATGTTAAACTATGAATCAAAAATTGAACGTGTTTACCTTATTGTCCTCCAGAATCCAATTGTTATGGTAAAGTAGGGCAGGTCGCATTTTCTACGAGTCCAATACCAGGTGGCAAAAGTTGCGGCCAATACCATTTCTCCGAATGCCGAGATAAAAAAGAAGAGCCAGTAAAATCCAACAACGTTAACGACATGAAAATAATTTATAAACCAGGGGCGATCCTTGCTAACGAGATTACATGCAGACATAGTACAAGGCTCTCCGGATTTACCGCTGTAACAATCTTTGTTGAATTGATCTGGAACACATGGTGAGTTGTTCGTGTACTTGTCGGGGCAGAAGCACTCATCCTCCATCATCATTTCCACTCTGTAGTTAGGCTCCCATATGGTCAATAAATATAAAAATATTGTCACGCCATACAACAGCACTATAAGATGCAAAACCCATGGTATTACGGGAAAGAATAAGCTCGATAGAATACTCGTCACAGCTCTGTAAGTCGCAATAAGGACGAGAAAGAATGACGTATAAATAAAGGTGTATATGTCAGTTAAAGTACATATTTGTATTCACTCACTCACTTGCTTGACTCTTTGATAAGTTGACATGCCAAATAAATTCTTTTCCGCAAAAATAATGAAGCCAAAATTATTAGAGATAGCGTAGTTGACGTCACGATGAGGAGCACCATCCATTTTGTGTCGTGATTTCGCAAAAAACGCATGGTTGATTCGTAAGTGGCGTAAGCCAAAGCTGCGCTAATTATCAAGATCGTTGTCCAAACACACGGCCCTGCTAACCACCTCAGTATAACGATATACAAGAGAGAAACAAATCCACTAGCAATGGAAATTCCAAATACTGCGTACCTAACAACAGACGCATGGTTGTCAATTAAATTTATCTCGTATCAGTGACGCTCGTACATTCTTACTTGGTGTTCTTCACGTCTGTGTAAGCTTTCTTCAAGACATCCTCCAAATGTGCCACGGATTCGATGACCCTTTGTGCCTCCTTTAATTGTTGGTGCGTGATAGTGTCGTTGATGAATTCATCCCAAACGACCACCGGAAAACAGCGCCCTAATAAATGGCTACTTTCCAAATACCATTTTGCACACTTTTCCAAATTAACCAACTTTTCGATATCGTCAATTTTTGATATATTATCAAGTTTCACCTCGATCTTGCAAATTAACTGTTTTTTCAATTCATCCAATGTTAATTGACTTTTAGTTTTGTCGAAGAAGAAATTCTGGCGTGGACAATCGCGAACGCAAACTTGTGTTGTCGGACAGCCACGATAGGAATCCGGAGAAATTTTCACGCACTTCGTCAGATCAAAAAATAATAAATATGGTCTGTCTGCCACTTGTGAATCAATTCCACATTTGCGCCCTTCACTATCCGTTGGCTGAACAAGCTTTTCTATGTTGCCATGCTTCAGAGCTAATTAAATCATTATGCATAAATTGCACTTTTACAATTAGGACTCTTTTGAAGGGATTATCATTTCGACTTACCGTAATATGCCACTCCACTCCAAACTATCAAAAAAGCCAAAAACACAATGAGCCAAAAACAGTCGGTGCAAGATCGTTTGTACAAAGGTCCTTTCCATCTAGGGTCATAATTCATCTTTCGACCTGGACAAAAAAAACGATGCCCAATGATATTAAAAAAATCTTTCGAAATAATTAGAACGATTTCAGCAATTATATAAAATATGATACATCGTGCGATATAAATTTTTTAAATTAATGTCATATCTGTTTTTACGTCAATGTTACTTATTGTTAGATAACTTCTTTGAGTGGAATCGATCTAATTCTTGTCTTTTCAAATAACTCGTAAATAATTTTCTCGATGCTATCGTCGTCCTCATATCGTTATCATTCCGAAAGATATAATATGCAATTTTTTTTTACATCGCAATGTTTTTCTACGTGTTCATTATTTTTATTATCATATCATAAATATTAAAAATGTGAAAGTTGCTATTGATGAATTATTCGAGAACTACTCACCGTATTTTTCTTCCATTGTTTTATTATGATGACAAGTCGACCGCCGACGTACGTTTGTTGTACATGTAGATGATTAATGTTTCTGTGTGTGAGAGTGCATTTTGTATATTTTATGCTGTAATGACGGGAATGAAAGAAAATTTAATACGAAATAAAGTAAGAAGCAAACTCACTAGAATGATTGTCAATCGCATACACATAGCTAATTGGTAGAACTATTTAAGAAACAGTAGACCTCTATAAAACCACGATGACTCAAGTTCGAGTACACTCCTGTCTAGATACGTACAAGTTGTACTACACAGTACACTTACGACAGACGACTGCATTGTTTCTCCAACTCTCTCCGTCGCGCTCTGCTCTCCCCCTTACACACATAAATATATAGATGCCTGGTCTGCTTTACAGCATCCCCCACTCTTTTCTTCATGCGCCTGCCCTGATATGCGTTCCTGTGAATTACAGTCATCTTATTAAACAATATAATTTGGCGGTGATCATGTTTGTTATCTGCACATGTACGCACGCGCGCATGCACACACATACACTTTCATGTTATAATGAGAATCGCAAGAGTAATTGTCAAATTGTCACATTTATACACAAGGTCATAATACAGCAGCCACAAAAAAACGATCAGTGATTTAAAGGTGAACTGTAAAACAGAACAAGAATTGATTTATTTTAATAATATTATGTATTTCCAATCCGATTCTAATTTTCTGCATGCTATCCATTCGTCTTTTGCTTAGTCCGAGCTATCAGTTTCTAAAAACGTAATCGTTGATATCTTGAAAATCGCGTAATTGACATGACTCTTGACATGCGCTGCTGTCACGTTCAGTAAAAACTTTAATACTGTTCTCGTGTCCTCGAGCAACGTCTCGATAAGAAATACCAGAATACAAAGTGAGAGTGACAGAGAGTGACGTACGCATCTTTCTATATACTTCAACTTGTAAAAATACATTTTTACAAAAATTGAAAAATAAAAATGTATATTAGAAGAAGGAAATATATAAAAATCACCATTTTTTATAGATTTAGATTCGTGCCCAATGTAAACTTAATAATTATTGAGATATAATCGTTTAATTAAATTATAATTGTTAAAATACATTTGTTTACTCTTGATTTCGGAAGTTCTGCATAATTAATTCGGGAATTGTTATAATAAAAGTAAATACTTTTTTATTCGATCTAAACAAATAAATTATTAACGTTGATCCAGCTTTTCGAATGTATAAATTTTTATTTTGTATATCGGGACGTGTCCTCAAATAATGTTATTTATAAAAAAAAAAGAATATTCTAATTATCTATTAATTCAAACAACTAATTTAATAAAAACAGTTACAAAAACTTGTGAATATTTTTTGATTTCTCAAGAAACTGCGTTTTCTATAAAAAAAACAAGAGGTTTGAAAGCCAATTGATATTTCATATATAAAACTTTCTATTTCGTAAATTCAATCTTATACATACATTTTTTTTCATTTCAAATAGGCATCTAAAAAAAGTATAAAACCGGTGGAAAAATTATGAAGAATGTAAATTAATCTAAACCTGGTCCAAAAGACTTTACGACTATATCACGGTATTCTCACATGGCCAATGTGAGCGTGACGAGAACGAACGTGTCGAGTGGAATCACGTCTATAGAGACCCGGATAGAAAAAACATTTCTGATAATTTTAACGCTCTATATTTTGGATACTGCTGATAATACTAGAAATGTAAATGAAATCACTTAACCATTTTTTGTTGATAATCTGTATTTACTCGTGCACAATGCACAATGCGATATATTTTAAGAGTTGTTTGATATAAATATAATAATAATAATAATAATAATAATAATAATAATATTAATAATAATAGTAACAATAATTTATTTGTTATGCATTAATTTTGAAATAGCGTGCGAGTAAATTCTATGTAATCGAGAGCGCCGGTGATTGGTCTTTCGGTTTTTGGATCGACGTAAGGATTCATTCTAGCCACACAATAATCTGCCATCTCTTTCGTTAAATTCTAAAAAACGACAAATGAAATGAAAATAATTTTGTGGTACTTGCAAAATATAGAATGTGTGTAACTTACAGCGTAGAGTTCATCTTTGGTGACGTAAGGTCGATCAGCTGCGGTGATAGCTCGGAATGCGTTTTCAATTTCCTGCGAACTCTGAACATTTTCCGTTTCTTTGCTAATCATAAATGCCATGTGGTCTTGTAACGAGACAAAGCCATCTCTGTTTGGATCGACGATATCTACAAGAACCGAAAGTAAGCATGAGAGAAGTTGTTTAAAAGGAAAAAAGAAGCGACAAGGTTTATCGTTGACTTATACTTACCGAGTATATTTTCAAATTCAGGATCAGGTTGGCCTTCTTCGACCATTGGCAGATCGTAGCCGAGAGCTCGCAGACACGATTTAAATTCTTGGTGATTCAGACGTCCACTCTTGTCCTTGTCATAGTGTTTGAACATCATTGAAAACTCCTTAAGGGCACCCTCCGACACTCCCGACTGGTTGCGTGCTTGTATCTGCTGCTCGAGATTGTGCTGCATACGCATGCCTAGCTGATCAAGCTGGTCCCACTGCTGTGCGAGGCCGACGGTACTGTGCTCGGTGTATCGGTTGTCTAGAATCAGATGCTCCTCGAGTATCGCCCCGAGGTCCTCGATCTTTTTTAGGTCCTGTCGGCGCGCTCGTACCTCCTGGGTTTTGCGCTTAGTGGCCTCGAGCTGTTGCTCGAGTGAACCCGAGCCCTCCATCATGGAGGTGCGCGTGTCAGCGAGCCACTGATGGAAAGCGTTGGCGTGCTTGGCGAACTCCTTGCGTAGCTTGTCGTTCTCCTCTTGGCGCTGAGCTTCCTTAGCAAGTTCGAGGTCACGCTCTTTGATAATCTTTTGCAGGTTGCGCCAGGTGTCCTCAAGCGCCTCCATAGTGAACCAGGTGTAGGGATTAGGTCCAACGTTGAAGCCCTTGATACGTCGATCGAGTGCTCCCAGAGCTGCAAAATCGGCCTCGGCCGACGAGAGACTCGCCTGAAATTGGGCATGCGCCTCACGCAATGCCCTTATCTCTTCAATGCTGTTGCAGCGTACCGGATCAGTTAGATCTTCCTCGGCGTTCTCGAACCACGAGTTGAAGGCCGAGGCCTTCTTAGCAAAGCTCAAATAGAGCTCCTCCACTTGGCGGAACTGATCCTGCATCTGCAGTAGGCGCTGTTTGCGCGCCTGTGAGTCGGCGAGTAGTTTTTGCCAGCGAGTGATCACATCTCCGTGGCGACGTTGTATCGCGGCGCTCTGTTCATGGCCAGCCTCCAGCAGCATCTCCTTTAACGACGTGATGTTCTGGATGCCTTCATGCTCGAAGGCATGCAGGCCCGCGTCAAATGTCTCTTGCTTGGTGAGAAGAGTCTGCACACTGCTTAGATCACGGCCAAACTCCTCGCTGCGTACATGACTTTCCTTGTCGGCGATCCACGATTCCACCACGTCAGCTTTCCACATAAACTGCAGATAGGCTGAGTTATCCTGAAGACGTGCCTTGCGACGCTGGGCCAGCTGATGCAACTGGTCAAGGCGAGCTGCCAGCTGCTGGCAGCGCTGCTCTATCGCCTCTGCCCGGTGATTACCAGCAGCGCGCAGCCCGTCCGCGGCCTCGCTAACTTCGCGGCAGCGTTCGGCATGCGCGGCAAAGTCCGTTTCAAAAGCATCGTGTTTTTTAATCAGGCCCTGCACCGCAGCCATCGTGTCACCGTAGTCCTCGAGTGACAGTAACTGCTGCTTCTCGGCCATCCAAGCTTCCTCCTCCTCGACTTTGGCCAGAAACTGCTGGTAGGCGAGCGACTCCTGCAGCCGTTGGCCCCGATTTACAGCCAATTGCTTGAGCTCGGCCCAGGCCTGGTTGAGGAGCTTCAGCCGCTGTTCGATCTCCGGCACGCCCAGATTCGATACGTCCATCAGCTTCTCGCCGGCCTCCTGTACCGCCTGTATCGCCGGTTCATGCGAGGCGAGTTCGCTCTCCAAGCGCTTGTGCTTTTTACGCAAATTCTGTACGCCGGTGAGATCGCGACCGTAATCGTCCGACTGGACAAGCAGTTTTTTCTCCTTGATCCACGACTCCTCGTCGGCAATGTCACGGAAAAATTGGTGTAGGGTGTTGGCTTCGTTTAACCGTGCCTGGCGGTGTGCAGCCAAGTTGCGCACACGCTCGTAACGCTCATTAATACTCTGACGCTTTTCCTGGATGCCTGCCGCCTCAAATTGACCGCTATCGATCAGCGAGTCCGCCTGGGCATTCATATCGCGCACTCGCTCCTCATGCGCACCAATATCCGCCTCAACGAGCTGCTGTTTCTTCATGAGGTTCTGCACAGAGGCCAAATCCTTGCCCGCATCTTCGCTAGTCAGTAGACTCTCTAGTTCGCCCAGCCAAAAGTCCAAATCTTTGACAGCGGCGATATAGGTACGTTGCTTATTTGCCTCTTTTAACTTCATCGACTTCTCGGTGGTCTTATGCGTGAGGTATTCCCACTGATCGGCAATCGAGGCGAGCCGCTTCTGTACCGCGTCTTCGCTGCCCGCGCATTGGTGCTTTTCGATCAAATTGCCACCCATCGCCAGTACCGACTGTATACGGTCAGCGTTGGCTGCCAACTCGGCCTCGAAGGCCTGATGTTTTTGATGTTTCGACTGAATGTTGGCCGGATCCTTGTAGTTCTCTTCGGTGGCCAGTTGCAATTTCTCCGCGATCCAATTTTCAATCTCGTCGGCGTCACGCGAGAACTGCTGTAGTGTTTGCGACTCACCGAGGCGTGAGCGCGCTTCGATCAGCGCATCCTTGAGGTGGCGCCAGCGATCGAGTACCTGGCAACGGCGCTCGTCGATCGGTCGCGAGGCATAGTGCTCCGCGGCAATCAGCTGATCGGCAAGCGTCTGCAGCGCAGCGATTTTTTCCTCGTGGGCCGTGATCGCCTTGTCGAAGTCTTCGTGTTTCTTGATCAAGGCCTCGACATTGTCGCTTGAGTCGGCAGCGGCAGCGCCCAAAGTGGACGATGACGACGACAAAAAGGCTTCGCGCGCTGACATCCAATTCTCCGCCTGCTCGCAGTCTCGGCAGAAGAGTTGTAGTTCTAGATTCTGATCGAGCTGCATGCGCCGTTGAATCCAAGCCTTCTCCAGTTCCTGGCGTGCCTCGCTCATCGATTCCAACTTCTCTTGGATCTCCACCGAGGCGTAGTGGGATGACTGCAACAATTGCTGACCAAACAGTTCGAACGCCTGGAACGTGCCTGCGCGCGCATCGATCTCCATACGGTGTTCCTTTAAAAAAACAAAATTGAACGAATAAACAAATAATAAAGATCAATGAATATTAATATATGAATATTAGCATTTTTTTATACCTGATGACGCTCAAGAAGCGCCTCGGCTCCAGTGACATCGGATGCAAGCTCCTCGGAGGCGACGAGACCCATCATAGAGTTGATCCAGGCCATAAGATCGCGGTAATCGCTGAGGAAGCGCTGCAAATCGTATGAATCGAGAAGCTTCTCCTTGCGTGAATTGGCCTTGGCGGTAACTTGTGTCCATTCCTCGTTGATATCCTTTTGTTTGGCGTACGTCTGCTCTGCGGTGTCCGGGTGGGATTGCATAAGCCGCGTAGCCGTCTCGTCGAGCTGTTTGATTTTGTCGCCGAGGGCGGCAAGATCGCGTTCGAGACCCTCATGTTTGCGCTGCAGTGCTTGTACGCTGCGCAGGTCCTTGCCTAAATCGTCGTTGTTGAGAGCGGCGTCCTTCTCGCGAATCCAGTCCTTGGTTTCGTCGACGTCGCGATGAAAGCGCTGTACCTCGTGAGCCGAGCCTAGCTGGCTGGCGCGTTCCTGCGTCAGGGTCTGCAAACTGGTCCATTTGTCGTTCAGCTCTTGGATCTGCGTCTGGATGTTGAGCGCAGCCTCTGTCTGCCCGAGGCTCATCAGTTGTACCGCGATCTCGTTCATCTCGGCCAAACGCACCTCGTTAGCCTTGAGATCGGCACGGAAATCATCGAACTTTTTCTGTAGCACCTCCACCTGTTCAAGGTCCTCGCCCACGTCCTGCACCTGCGCCGCGTGATTTTCCTTGTCCTTAATCCAGGCCTGCAGCTCCGCAGCCTCTCGCACCAGCACGTACGCCTTGGCGGTTTCACTGAGCTTGTTCTGGCGTTCGCGTGCCAAGCGTAGCAATTCTTCGTACTGGGCCTCAATCTGCGCCTGGCGTGCCGCGATCGAGCCCTGCTCGCGCGCCAGCTGTTGCTGCGAGCCGCTCAGACCGGTGACGCTCGGACCCTCGGGCTCGAGCCGTTTCACGTAAGCCGCTGGCACAAAGCCCTGGCGGTCATTCACTTCCACCTTCCACCAGTCTTTGTTGTTACTGTTGAGCAGCGTCAAACTGTCACCCTTCTTCATGCTAACCTCGCGCGGCGATTTCTCCGTATAGTCGTAGAGGGCGATCACACACTCCTTGCCCGCGAGATCCACTTGCGGCGCTTCCTGCTGGCGGCATTGACCAGCTTGCTCAGCCAGTCCGGCGATTGTACTGCCGAAGGCCTCCAGATCGCTCAGAAGAGCCTCATGCTTTTTCAACAGCGCCTCGCTACTGTCCTCGTCCTTGCCGTAGTCGGCATTCGTCACGATCGGCCGTTTTTCCTTCATCCAGGCCTCGGCCTCGTTCGCGTCGGCAAAGTATTGCTGCGCCTGCAGTGAGTCCTCGAGGTCATTGCTGCGCTGACGAGCACGCTCCTTCAGCTGGCCCCAGTGCTCATCCAGAGCTGCCAGCCGCGCCGAGATCTCATCCGCAGCAAAGTGGCCCTCCTCGAGCATACGCGAACCCGCCTGACAGACGGCCGCGACACGCGGCTCGTGATTACCGATCTCCGCGAACAACGCATGATGTTTCTTGATTAAGTTCTGCACGCCGATCAAGTCGCGGCCGCGATTCGACGAACCGGCAATCGGCTCCTTCTCGCGGATCCAAGCCTCCTCATCCTCGACATCGCGGAACAACTGCTGAACGCGCAGCGAGTCCTGCAGGCGCTGACGGCGCGCACGCATCGGGCGCTCGAGAGCCGCGTAGCGTGTGGCCAGCTGACGCTCCTTTGCCACAATGTTGTCAGCGTCAAAGTGACCCGCCGCGGCAAACTGGCCGGCGGCGGCCGAAGCTGCCTCCACGCGCTCCTGGTGCGACGCCACGTCGGCTTCCAGCAATGCCTGTTTCTTGAGCAGGTTCTGCACCGAGGTCAGGTCCTTTCCGTAATCCTCGCTCATGAGCTGACCTTCGAGCTCTGATAGCCACAGTTCAAGGTCTTCGCAGGTACGGTTGAACTGCTGCTGCTGCGCAGCCTCCTGGAGCTTGGCGGCCTTGCGCTCGCTCGCCGAAGCAAGCGAGTGCCAGAGCTCCACAATTTCGTCGATTCGCGATTGCACACGTTCAGCGGCGTAGTGACCAGCGGCGCAGAGCTCTCTGCCCTGGGCCACCATCTCCTCCATGCGGGTACCGTTGGCCTGCAGCTCCTGTTCAAAGTTCTGCTGCTTCTGCAGCTTCCCGTTGAGATTGGTAGGGTCGAGGTAGCTGTCGTCGGTGGCGAACTTCAACTTCTCGTTGACCCAGCCCTTAGTCTCGTCGCAGTCACGCTCGAATTGCTGCAGACGGTAGGCGTCTTCGAGAGCACCTCTACGCGCCGCCGACTTGTCGAGAAGGGCGGCACGACGTGCGAGCAATGCTTGCCGACGCTGAGCCACCTCCTCTGCGGCGTAGTGCTCGCCCTCGACCAATTTCGAGGCGAACTCATCCAGAGCCTTAATTTTTTCCTCTTGCGCAGCCAGCGACTTATCGAAATCCTCGTGCTTTTTCATCAGCGCTTCCACCGAGTCTAGCGAGTCTCCAAGATCCTCGTTTGCGAGGAATGCCTCCTGCTTGGCCATCCAGGCGTCGGCTTGTTCTGTGTCACGGTAGAACAGCTGCAGATCCATGCACTGTTCGTAGAGAATGCGCCTCTGCTCCCAGAGTTCGAGGAGCGCCTGCTTGTCCGAGGCGAGACTCTCGAGCTTGCGCGCTACCTCCTCGGCTGCGTAGTGTTGGCGCTCGAGGAGTCGCGTACCCGCTGCCTGGGTCGCCTCAAAACTGTCGGCTCGCGCATCTATTTCGCCGCGGTGCTCCTGGTGACGCTCCAGTAGTGCCTCCGCACCGGCGACATCCTTAGCCAACTCGTCAGCCGATATGATAGCACGCATATTGTTCATCCAGCTGACAAGATCACGATAGTCGGCAAGAAAGCGGTGCAGGCAATACGACTCGTCGAGCTTCACTCGACGCTCCTTGGCGCGGGCAGTCAGGCTCTCCCAAGATTGCAGGATCTCCTGGCGCTTAGCTTGGATCTGCTGGCTGTGCTCCGGCTGATGGATTGAGGCGAGTCTGTCGGCTTCGCCACTGAGCGTTGCCACCTTGTCTTCGAGGGCCGCCAGATCGCGCTCAACGTTCTCGTGTGTGCGCTGCAGCAATTGCACTGAAGCCAGATCGCGACCAAAGTCGTCCGAGGACAGCACAGCATCCTTCTCCGCGATCCAGGCCATTGTCTCATCGGCATCCCTATTAAAGCGCTGTATCTCATGCGCTCCGAACAGCTTTTCTTGCCTAAGGATTGCCAGTTGCTTCAATCGCTGCCATGACTCGTTTAGCTCTTCCTTACGGCGCAAAATCGTATCGCGTTCTGGATGCCCGTCGAGCAATAACTTGTCAGCTAGCTCGTTTACCTCAGTCACTCGATATTCCTGAGAGCTCATGTCTTTTTGGAACTCATCAAACTTACGCTGCAGCACCTCCACATGCTCTAGATCTTGGCCAAACTCATCCGTAGTTACAAATGCTTCCTTGTCATGTATCCAGAACATCACTTCATCACAGTGCCTTAAGAACTGCACTAGCACCAAAGCCTGCTGCAACTTCAAACCTTTGTCTGCCAGCCTTGATAGTAATAATTCCCATAAACGGTGTAGCTCCTCTGCAAAAGCAACTTTTTTAGTTCCACTGACACACAATACAATAAAATAATATCAAGTAAATCATTAGTATCATAGTAGCAAATGGCTTTTGTAGTTATTTTTATAGTGTTACTTACCAAGTCTTTTACGAATGACGTCACTGGAGAAGTGATGTTGGGCAATCATTTCTGAGCCAGTATTATCAAGAAGAACGATAGCATTAGAGTGAGCTGCTACTTCAGCTTCAAATGCCTGATGTTTTTGTATCTTTGCTTGTAAATTTGTTGGATCTTTATAACTTTCATCGGAAGCTGCTTGCAATTTCTCGTAAATCCAGCCTTCGAGTTCATCAGCATCCCTTTTAAAATACTGCAAACGAAAACCACGTTTTAGAATTGATAATGAATAAGAAATGATCTTTACTTAGTAATACCTGAAAGCGCCGAGAGTCTTCAAGTTTATCTCGCTTATTGCGAGCTTCAGCTTTAAAACTTGCATAACGACTGAGCACCTGATCACGTCTTTCCTGAATATCTTCTGGATTTTCAAGGATTTTCACTTCTTTCGGCGTTATCTGTTGATCCATTTTTTTGGTAAGTAGTCTTGCAATTTCTTGAACTGAAACTGCTCTACGCCAGTTAGACAGGCCGTCGAGGAGGCCGCCCAAAATGGCCGAAAGGGCGTGGCAAATTAATTTATCTAATCAATCGAAGTATGTTTTAATTAATCGATAGTAGCAAGTTAACCATTGCATTTATAACTTATTTAGCAAACAGGGCTGCACTATGCCTTAAGTTGTAAAAATATAAACGTATACCTACCCGATCAATCCGGCCTCTTGTGTATATATATATATATATATATATATATATATATACATATGTATATATACGTATACTGTTTCACACTCCTTGTATCGAGAGCACAGATAGTGACTACCGTCCTGTCGTCGCGGGAGTACTAAACCTGTTCTGTTCTATTAATATTTGTTGGCTCTGGTGTCGACTCACAGTATAGCGAGCTGTGTCCCATACGGCCATCAACTGACTTGATGCGTTTGCGCGCGTAATTCAAATTGGCATTTTATTTGGGTAGAGCAAAGCGAAAGAAAAGAAAAGGCAAGTAAGTAAGTAAGTAAGTATCAAATGTGTTGAAGAAAGGCGAGAATAGGTGAACTGACCATAGAGGTAGAAGTAAATGTTATTTAATAGAGAAAGTAAAGAAATATTTCTGAATTTTTAAGGAATTTAATTAGAACGTCAATGATATGCGGTTTAGGATCTGCAAGAAATTGGGAGATGGTGTAAGGGGGATAGATTTTCAATTTGTTAAGTTTGAGTAGTAATATTTTACGTTCTTCGGCAAAGCGTTCACATGACCAAAAGACATGATTAAGATCTTCTACGTCTGATTCACAGGCACAAATGGGGGAATCTACCAAGTGATTTCTGTGAAGACTAAAAGCTAAATTATAATGATTTGTTCTCATACGAGTGATGGAAACTATCTGTGTTCTATAATGGTAATTATTAAAAAACCAAGGTTTTGAAGCTTTATTAAAGTAATTTTGGAAATATTGTAACCCTTTGTTAGTATCGGTGTTCAATAGATATTCAAAGAAGCGATCTGTACAGCCCTCATTGGTGAACTGTTGGAAGTCGGTGTATGGCAAGAGAAGGGATGGGGAAAAGCCTGTACCTATCGCTTTTTTAGCAGAGTCATTTACTATTTCATTACCTGAGATACCTTTGTGGCTCGGGACCCAAGCAAAGATGACCTCTTGATTATTTTCTAGTAGTTCTAAAAGTCGAAGTTTTATTCTAAAAATAGTGATGTGAGATGACTCGACCATGCATCCCCTTTGTGAGATGGACGTAAGACAGCTTAACGAATCAGTAAAAATTATGGCTTTGTTTATTTTTTTTAAAATGATGAGTTCCAGTGTCAGGTGGATTACAAAAGCATCGGCTGAGAATCTATCCTAAATTGTAAATTAACATTAAGAGGTTCAGGACTATAAATTGCTAATTCGACATAAAGCCCAGGACCTTTTTTTGATCTATTAGTATAAAAGGGGGTATAGGAGTTTAGAAGGTCATGAAATTGTATATTGAATTCATTGTCGGGATTGTCAGCCTTAGCAATAATAGAATCTTTATCAAAGATATAGTATGCTTGGACTTGTTGAGCATCAAGATAGAAAACGTAACAAGGAGGGATGGGGCTTGAATATAACTTATTTCGGAATGATTTTAGTTCTAAGTATGCAGTAAGAAGAGGAAAAGTGCGTAGATATTTAGGGGAGCTGTTGTTTGTGCAATCAGCTAACTGACATATTCACATATAGCAGTAATAGAAGGATGGTTCGTGATTGAGAGCGAGCGGAGAATATAGTTGAAGGAGAGTTTATTTTGTTTCAGATGTACGGGATGAATTCGAGATTCAGCATAGACAATCCTGTCGGCGAGGCAGAGACGATTTATCTAGGCAACTTTCTCTTTTTCTCGGAGGGAATTAGCCGATTTTAGCGCCGCGCTCGGTAGTTAGTGAACCACTATAGAAGACTTACATAATAATATGAGCGCAGCTTATATCGACTACGGAGATGTATACAGTCTCCATGTTATCGACCATGGTACTGTAGGTGACGAAGATAACCCTCCCTTGCATATCTTTTTGTAAAAAGGAATCCATTAATTTTATAGAAAATTAATACTATTTTACGATGAAAAAGTCTTGCGATATATCGTTTTTGTTATTTTTTTGAAATGGTAGAATACGCTTTTCGTTCACTCGATTTTAATAATTTTATAGTTTTTTTTGTTATTATATTTCCTTATTAAACAATATAATGTCTAATAATAAATAACATTCGATATACTTAACTTTAATGATAGTTACGATGATTAATGTGGTCATTGTCAACTATCTACGAAATTTTTACCGTGTAAAATAATTATCTTTTTAATAGAAAAATATTGTTACGAAAGCCATAATTCAATTGTATAAAAAGCATAGATTTTTAACATAAAAATTTACAATAATTATAATTATTTTTTAATTTATTAGTAATTGTCATCTGTTTTGAACTTAGTAAAAACTAAATGTTGGCAATTACTTTGATTTTGAATGACAAAAAAAAAATGAATCAATTATCTTCTTTAGATTAGGAGACGCGACATTTGGACGAGTGCGAAAATTGCAATCTGCATTTGGAGTCGTTCTCCAGTGTTGCTGCACGCCATCAACTTACAAATGCTAGAGAGAGTTTTGGTGGCTTAATTAAGTCTAGCGACAATGTTTTTGAATTAATTAAGATGGTTGAAAATTGTGTGACCTTTATAATTGAGTGTAATAATGGCATGACTAGAGATAGTATGCAGTTCATTGTTCAAAAAATAATAAAAACGAACTCTCTCGCGTTTGTTGGTTGTGCAGATCATGTAATAAAATTAACATACAAATTCATAATTTACTATTCAGAAAGACGAATGGAAATGGCGTGCGAGTGACACAATATTGTCCATGATGCAAAAAAATTAAAATCTAAAGAACTACGCAAATAGTCAAAATATTAATTTCAGTTTTTATATTCATTATTTAATTGTTTATATTAAATATATGCGGGAACATCATCATCAATCAAACCCCACACATAATACCTCATCTAAACGTAGAATTTCTCGTTATTTTCCAAATCCGGAATCAAAAATAGGGGTTCCTATGCAAAAAATCACTGTGACCTTCAAATGACCTTGAAAATCATTCTAAGTGTCTGTGTGTGTGTGTAACAATCTCACTTAAACAAACTTCTAAAACTTTTTCGAAAAATTTAGTTATTATACAGGGTGTTCCAGACCACCCGTACACCCCCTCTAGAATCCAAAATAATGGATTAATCAAAAACTGCTTCAGACAAAAGTTGCTGGGCTTCGAGGGGGACATATCCGTACGACCTTGACTTTGACCTTGGAGGTCATGTTCAAGGTCATTTCAAGGTCAACTTTGTTTTTTTAAATAGGAACCCCCATTTTTGACCCCGGATTCGGAAAGAGCGGGAAATTTTACGTCCAAAACGGTATTTTTAAATTTTTTTTCATGCCCTTGAGAAGGTCGATTTAAGGTCAAATGCTTGAAAAACTGCCTAAAAGCGTTTTATTAATTTTTAAGATATCGAAAAATGACCTCTACAAAATTTGTTCAGAATAGAGTGGGCCACCCAATGCACCAAAAACCTTTGACCTTTAACCTCATTTTGAAGGTCATTTCAAGGTCGAAGTGTTTTTTGTAATGGAAACCCCTCTTTTTGACCCCGGATTCGCACATAGCGCGAAACTCAACACAATACCTTATCCAAACGTCGGATTTCGAATGATGAACAACTCAAACAGAAGAAAATTGAAGAGTATGAAAGAAGAAGAGCAGGAAAGCTTGGACTGCCTTACGAAGGAAAATCATTACATGGATAAGTCGTAGCAAAACTAGAAGCAGAAGTAGGTCAGAAGAGTCTCATCAGACAAGTCACTCAAGATCAACTCACAACATTGTATCCCAAGATATGTCAAAAAAGTATAGAAAATACAATATTATACATTTATGTACTTGATTAAAGTCTAATACAGATAACTTCAATGTAATGTTCATTTTGCTGTTTTAGAATTAACTCTTCATCAGGAAATAAACCACTATTCAATGGTCCATCGGAAGCTCTGAAACTAAGTGAAAGTGATCTGCATAGAATCACTGTGAGAATTCATAGAAAAATATCAGCTTCATCAGTCGAAAATACTGCAATTAATCGTGCAGTTGTTAACCCAGAGGAGATAAAGTTAAAAAGAAGAGAGGATAAATTTATGTTTTATTGTTATTTCTACCTGAAAATATATAGGTTCAACTAAGAAGATCAAAATTGGAGCTAGTATTTTGCAGATTTTATTAGATGTACTTGCATAATAGTTTCCATTTCCTTCAAGAAGCAAAGTTAGATCATTGATAAATTTTATGACGAATATAGTTGCAGTATATAAGATGCATATTTTATAGTTTATTAATTAAAAATTAATACAACTAACAAGTTTATTCAAATACTCTATTCTTCCAAGATAATTTCATGTGATACTTCATCAACAATGGAAGAGTTACTAATTGCCAATTTTTCTAAAAACCAGTGTCAATCCATTTTTGCCCATTCATTTTAAGTAATACATAGTTACCAAAAACTAGAATTGTGTCAAGCTTCTAACATGCAGTTTAAACATTTATGAATAACTTTACTGTGAGGAAGAACTTTATAATTTATTACAACAGGAGAAGGAGCGAAACCGATATTCGACCGCGAAGAGTTGAAACCAGCTGAAGTCGAAGTTGAAGAACGCCGCATCGTCGAATACTTTTGTGCCTATTACAAACATAAATCCAAAGACGTTAAGGCAGCTTATTGAATAGAGCTTCTCACTTCACATGATTGACGAGTCTATTCACTTAAATATCTACAAATTATACATGCGTGAATATACGCCAAAGTAACAAGCACATGGAACTGGAGCTGTTGTATAATTAGATATGTCAGATTTTACGCACTCGTTATGGTTCTTTTCTTTATTAATCCCAACAATTATTAATATTAATTATATTGATATTAATATTTATCCAATATTAATCGCCAACAATTTCCCTTAAAAACCTGGGAGCTGACTTCGCAGTCCTCAAAAAAACAACTATAATAGAAGAACCGTCATTAATATGCCTATATCTCACGACTATATACATGCACTCGTTATAAAATACATTCAGGCACAGTTTCACCGTGATAGCCAAACACAATAACACATATATGCGTATTGAGCGCGGCTACCGAGAAAAATGTATTTATTTAAAAATTATCGTATGTCAGTTATTTATGCATGAATTTTGAATAAAAAAGCCAGTAATACTTACTTTCATCTATAATTTTGTTTATTTACTATAAATACTTGAACCAAACTTTACCAATAAAATTATTCGTGAAAAATTATTTTAATTATACTGTTTTACCGTTTTCGATGAAAACCGTTATTAAGTATCGTTTATTGAAATGAACTTACTGATAACATTATTGTATAGATATTAGAGGTGTGCATTGTATAAGTGTAGATGAAACGAAAAGAAAACATTATACAAGATTTATTTCTTTTAATGCGAAACTAAACTTTCTTTTGTTTCTACACATTTGTGAAATTTCAGATCACATACGCTCACGTACACGCATTTCTTAATGTCTATAGAACAATTTTAACAATTCATTTTATCAATAAACAATTCTTCATAAATCATTTTTCATTAAAAATCGGAAAAAAATATGATTAAAAATTATAGTCCCTAGATAATTTTATACAGCAGTTCTGACAGAACTAAATCATAACAGTAATTATAAGTGTAATGACAGATTACTTTATCCTCAACATTATGTTTTATATAAAGCTTCGTGCATAAATAAAAACGCACATATATACGCACGCACACAAAAGCGCGTGCGTACACACACACGCCGAATGTAATTTTAATTCATTTTACTGCGCGTCAGCGCGTCTTACAGACAACTTTACAAATTAAATGACGTTTATTGTAGATTTGGAGATAATACATAAAGTTTTTGTGTTTCCGAATAATGTGTACGGTTGTACATAAATATAATTAAAATATTCAATTATTTTAATATTCATATGAAATCATCGTTGACCTTCGCCTTGAATAGCGTTCCCGCGATTGCCACATTTTTTTACGTTCATCCGAACTCGTATAGGTCTCCGGTCAATAAAGTAATTTGTTTAAATAATCCAATTTTTTAACTCCATTTTTTAATACTTAATTCTTAATGCAACAAATATTTTTAAATACATATAATACACATTGACTAATATCGAATATAACGAAAAATATTAATTTGATGGTATAATTAATTAAAAAAATTATATTGTACATAACCTTTTATTCAATTTCACCTACGAACAACGAATCACAGAACGTTACATTAAATTTTTCTTTTAAATAACTTTATACGTTAATTCTATCGTAACAGAGTCTTAATAATCAAGTTTCTTTATTACATTGTATTAATAAAATATAATGATTGAATATAATTGCCAATTTATTCATATCATAAACATAGAAAAAAACATTTTTTGCTACAATAATTTTTAAAGATAATCTTCTACACGTTGTACTTTTTTGCGACACATTCATATTAAAATTCTTAGTCGAATATGCAAATATAACATTTTGGCAGAAAACGCGCTTTTAGCATATTCTAATATATATGTATGTATGTTGTTGTTTAGCTCAAAAAGTTATTTAAAATAAGGACGGTAAAACCATCGGTCGATTACCACATTTACTTTTAAGTACCCGTGAATGAATTTGCAATGTAAAAATCAGAGTGCATAAGAACATTATTATATGAGTTACAGTTTAGCTTCTATACTTGATTAATTTTCATTATCAAAGGCAACATTTTGTATTAATAATTTGTGAAGGCATTGTTCTTTGTATCATTGCGGTTACCATGGTGGTTTTGAAACAAACGCATATAAATTACAGTGTGAAAAACGCTTTTTATGATACAAATATATGTTTCAGAAATATTAGAAACTTAAACATTTTATTGGCAGCACTGGATAAGTATTTTACATTACAGATTTTCGCAACTCTTTACTGCATACACTTATCTTGAAAAATATATAGTAAAATTACGCTTGAATTGTATTTAGACTGTTCAGAGAGCATTGCTAAGTCTTAAGGTAATTACATTTTTACACGTATTTTTTCTCTAGCGCACACCCCCTTATAACGTATGAATATAATATCATTCACACAATCACACGCATACATATTTGAATTACATTCTTTTTTATTTTCTGATAAATTACTCTTTACTCTTCGTAGTAACAATAAACGTCTGGTACGATTACCAGTGACTCTCCAACCATATTTACAGGAAATATCATTGAATTCCAACTTAGAGTCGCATTAAATTTTAAACATTTTTAAAATGATAGCTTTTGCTGAAAAAGTATATATACAAAGAAATAAAAAGTTATATTTGTAATGTCAACATAATCACTTATATTGCGATAAACTAAGAGAAAGGTGATAGTTTCTTTATGTGTTTTGATTTTCGATGCTATGCTGATTTTGGATGATAAATTTACTTAATAGGAAGCATTATTTTTTAAAAGAAATATGTCCAAAGACAGTAAAGACTTATGTTACGTATCCGTGCGCTATAGCAATCGTTTTGAGTCATCGGATGCTACCTTCTTATGTTGACTTGTCGCATCACTTGTGAAAGCAAAAGAAGAATTATATTTTTTCTTATTTATTATCTCACTTTCTGTAATGCTATAACAGAAATATAATTTTGATTAATAATAGATAACAATTGTTAGCTACGTGTTTAATACATCTGGGTGAAAAATTATGAAAATTTTCCAATCACATTCTATGATTTCAACGTAAAACAATAGAGTAGCGTCAAGTTGGATCTAAGATAGCATAAAGTTCTTTCATTTAAAATCACTCATTATGTGAAAGTATCTTAATATTTTACACAATTGTACTCCACTTATATGTACACACATACATATGACGGCCAACCACATTCTAAATGTTCATTGATATTAAGAATTAGGACACCGAACGCTAATCAATATTCTTGGACCTCATATGTGTTGCGTAATCACGCTTGTAGTTACTTATTAATATAATTTGTTACATCCAGCACCACGATTTCACGATTTCTGTTTAGTAAATACAACCATTACTTTATTTGTATATTTTATATATGTACATATCTATATATACATGTGAATAGAGTATACTTTGCTAAATAATTTATTCATTTATATATGGAACTGATTGTTATTTTTAATTTCCAAATATATCCCAAAATGCCTTGCCGTAAAGAATGAATACTACATTTGCAGTTTCAATCTCAATATTACTCGACATTTTTAATTTTCGTTTTCACAGCCTTCAAATTACGCGTTTAATTCATTATAAAATGTAATATTTGTTTCGCCTTATTATAACCAACTAACAATCAAATTCGATTAGTATTAATTACAAAATACATGAGCTTGTATTTTTCTTCCATTAAAATGCGCAGCAAATGATCGCGAAAATATATTTGTAAGTAATTTAATATTATGATTGAGGATTTGTGCAGGGAATAACGATTTTGCGATGTATTTTTGGCTAGCCAATTGTTATTACATTCATTCACTTGTGCAATTCGGAAGAAAAATTGTTTATTAAAGTGGCTGACCTTTTAATATTACTAGCCTGGGTGAAAAGTAGTATGAAAGCCATCAGTTAATTTATTTTCTGTAAAAATGTATCAGGCGTAAAGCATCAACTTTCCTTTTTTCCTTTTTCTTTTTTATTTTTGAGGTTACTTTATCAAAAAAGAATGAATTATGGAAAATCGAAAGCTATGGAAATGTAGTTTACACGTTTAGATTAAGTGAACAACGCTTTCTACATTTCAATAATTTCACTGAAAAATGGATTAAATCAAATCTGGACTTGCGTAAACATGATAAAAAAATAATTATATCTCGATAAGTGTGATTGAGTGTGTTTGTGTGTATTTGGATTTGATTAACGCAACAGGTTGTGCTTCGATTAATTGCCTGCCTGAAAAAGATCACAGCTGGTCTCGATCAGGCGAGCCGAAAATTATAGCAACAAGACATCGGAAAAGACAAAAATGTTCGATAGATTGTCAATCACGCACCCGTACAGTCGATTTCAATAATGTCCTTGGGTACGTCTACGAACTGATAAACGAGCCGTTGACCATCGACCTTAGCGAGAATGCCGCGTTGATAATAGTAACGCAAGGCTCGACCCATCGTCTCATAGTTCATGTCAGGCTTGTTTTTGTGGAGACCCCATAGTCTTGAAACTGCCTTGCTGTCAACAAGTTTAAAAATTCCACGCTCGCGGTTCGTCCATTTAATGTAGCGTGGACAATACTCGCGATCTTGAAGGAGCTTCAGCAAAAATTCCCAAAGATAAGTGGTCGAGCCCTCGCGCGATTTACGTTTCACAGGAAGGCCTTGACCAGGAACCGGCCCGCCGGTTGACTGCTCATTGATGCTGGATCCTGGGCCCGCGCCACCAACAGCTACCATCCGAGATTTTTTGAGCTTGCTTTTCTTTGCTCGAGGTGGGAAGCCCAATTCAAGCAAGTACAGTTCATCAGATACTGAAGATGTTGCCGCTTGAATGACACTTGTTGGCACACCACCTGGGCCGCTGACTCCTGCTGCGATACCGTTGGCGCATGTTCCGGTACCAGCAGTTGTCGTCGACGTGCTTGCCATTGTTGCTATTGCCCTCGACTGAGAGCTCGTGCAGCTTCCCGAATACGAGGTAACGCTTCCTGCTACCGATCCATTGCTATTGTACATTGACGTCATGTAGCTCCCATAGCTATCTGGCACTGCAACACACACATACATATTTCTTAGTAATTATTTCTGCTAATTACGTCACGGTGGTAGTATTAACTTCTTTATGTCTTTTTTAAACTATATAGTTCATATATATCTTCTTTTTATCACGTATACGTCATATTTTATAAATATAGCAACTCTACTACTAACAATGGCAAAAGGAGCTAAAAATTATTCTAAAGCTTGTGAATGAACCGACAGCTCATGTTAATAAATTAATGTAACTTCCTTTAACATATAACAACAACGTATAACAAATTTTAATTTTTTTCGTGTGACTGGAAATATTGTAATTTAGAAAATACAGTAAAACTGTTAACGATAGCAAATGATTGTTCATAAGGAAATTAAAGTATATTATATGTGGTATTTCGATTGAATAGAAAACGATATATGGGCTGCAAATACAGATCAGTAATTTTGAGGCAGCGACAACAGTGCGGAAAGAGTAATATAAGTATAGAGATGGAAAGGCAAAGAAGGGGAGAGTTGACCTTGAGCTGTGTCGGGAAAGTCAGGCAGTCACTGACCGACAGACTAACTTAAGACCCTATCTTTTTCTCTTTTACTCTTTCTCCCCACCCTTTCGACTGTCCCCCTCCCCGTTTATTCTCTTATTCTTATTTTCCTTTTTCTTCCTGCCTTATACTCTTATGCCCGTCTATCTTTATCTCTTTTCATACAACTTGCATAAAGTTATTTTTTTCTCCAACACGTATTTTTTCGTTTTTTTTTATTTCATTGAAAGTATACAACTATTGCGTTGAAGTATAAAATTAAAGACGGATTGTTGTTAGGCAATCAATTCATGCTTCAGCCATTTTCGTAAACATTTTTTCATTTGTAAACATAATCAATAACCAGGCAGTTTGTAATAATTCAATACTCTATCGTCAACTAAATTGCGTTGACCTGTGTAATAAATTTTTGCCCCATCAATTCGATCGATAATTTTTAAATTGACTACTATAACGATAACATAAATATTGAGAAATAAATGTTACGTGCATCAATACTGAGGGAATCAATTGAATAAATGGAAAAAACCCAACCCAAAGCACTATAAATGTAGTATATGTAAGCATAAGCGTGTAAAAGGCTGCATAGAAGCAGAAGGTGAGACAAGAGGAAAGACTGAGCAAAATAAGGAAAAGGAATAATCGCTATTTAGGAGGGGCGCAATTGCACAGCTACATGGGCAGATAGACTATGTCTGAAGAAGAGAGGGAGTAAGGAAGAGGAGAAGTAGCAGGCGGTAGAGAAGAAGAAAGGGAGAAGAGGGTAGCTGGTTGCACGTCCACGACGAGTCACAATCGTTAAACCACAAGTGGGGGAATAGAGGAGGGGGCAGACGGGGTGAATTGCCGGCGACAAGGTCACTATGTACTACTACACTGCACTTTAAAACCGGAGTTGTGAGAAGACTGCTTGCTTGCACATTATAAGCAGCTCTGCTGTGTCTGTCGTATTTAAGTTAATAATTTAAATAAATATGTTCATATAATTGTTATTATGTAAAGCAACGTACTTGCAAAATAATCGAAATGATGCATTTTTAATGCATAGAGAAAACGATTCAAGACGATATTTACGTAATCTTTTAAAAAACTTTCGTTTATCAGAAACTTTTCGTGAATACTCACGCTAGAAAAATATTAGCATTAATAAAGGAACATACACAGAGTTCAGAAATTTACGCCCAATAATGAATGTATTGATTGAGAACCACTTATTCTCATCTTCCTTTTGGAAAGGATCTTGGAAATTTATTACAGATAGAGAAAAACAGTGGTGGGGAGAGAAATAAAGATAAACACTGATGCGGAAGGGGGGGGGCGAAGAAAAGAAGAAAAGAGAGTGATTTCCATTGCTATATACAAATCATACTCAGTTAGCACATGTCCAACCATCCACCATCAAAATTAGTTGATAATATTGAAATTTATTAAATACTATTATTTCACGGCGTATCGTGTAATAAGGTTTGACTATCATAAAAATATGGTTATGTTAAACTAGCACTGAAAAATACAAGCTATCGCTTAAATCATTTTTAAGACCATTATTTTTGTTCTAACAATTTACTGTGCTATTTATGAACATTAAACTTGAATTCCAAGTTCGACCTGACAAATGATTAAAATACTTTGTTCGATAATAATATCTGGATTAATTTAAGAAGGAAGCTTGAAAAAACGCCATATACGTATATATAGTTAAGAGGCTATATCATTTAATTAAAACTTCTTTGGTTGGATACATAATACAAGTGTGAAAAGAGTGAGATTTACCTTGTTACCAAATAGCTATGGCGTAACGTTTTGCTTATTCACGTTTGATTATTCAATCCGACATACTTTTACTTAACTGCTATCGCGCACAGTATCGGATTGTCACATAAGCGAATGGTATAAACATAGGAATCACATTGACTACATATAAGAAAACTTACTACTGTTTGAACGCATAATTTTCAAGCGCAAATACTAGTAAAATTGCACAAGTTAAGATTTAGTTTACTAAAAAGTTAAATCATAAATGCATTTACTTTTGGAAAACAATGACCGATCACACTTTACGTGCGGCACCTACTTGACAATCGCTAACTCTTAGTAAACTATTAACCTAAGGTTGTTTGAAATTTCTTCATAAATATATTTAATTTGTTATTATAATTGACTACAAACGTTTTTACTAAATTTTTTATTCAGATACCCGTATTAATCTTTACAAAGATTGTAATCAATGCTTTCATTATTATAAATATTAAAACCGTCATTAGTACTGTTTTTATAAAATTTATATTAATCTGAAAAGAAAACTAGTAAATATTGCTTTACTTTCAAAATATTGACTTGAAATTCATGACAATAATTTACTATACTCTATGATAATAACAATCATAATTAATTTGTCAATAACAGTTTCAAACTCACGTGCTGTGGATTGTCGATAATGTAAATGTTGAATATGTGGAGATTGGTGTAAATGATGGTGATTAGGCGGTCCCATCGTCGGTACACTGTGACTGCCGTGTTGATGCGGTGAATTGCCTCTGTGAGCCTGATAATGAGTAGTTTGCTGATGATGTTGAGAATGAAATGGAGGAGGCAGAAAAGTGCTAGGCCCACTGTAGGTTCCAGGGCTATGACAAACTGATCTCCCTAAAGCTAACATAATTTAAATCATTTTAGATTAATTTATTATTATACATAACTTTTAGAAACTGTTAGTGAGTTGAGTCACCTGCTGTAATGTGAGAATGATGTGACGCAGATAAGTTAGATTGAAGAACAGAATTTGGATTGAGTCTCGCTTTTAAAAGAAGGTTCGCCGCATCTTCATTAGCTCCCGATGAAGTACTCGACTCCACATCGCTGACTCCACTATCCGCAGGACTGGCTGGCAATGATCCACTTCCTATTTATGATATACAGTAATGTAGATTATATACTGAAATACAACAAGCACGTGTAAAAACACTCTTATACATATATGAATTTACACACGCACGCGCGGACACATACACACATATGTACTCGTATGTATGCACTTAAACTGTAGCAGATAAAAGTCCATAGGAGACTTCGAAGCTTTAAATCATTATGTGTTGTTTTATTTTGACTTGATAAAATTGATGGTTTATTGATGGCTCTTATGGTTTAACATTAACCACTATTTGCGTTTTGAGGTGATATTTTTTATTTAATATTTCCGTTAGTACATTGTTTCGTAACAATATCAACTAGCTAAAGTATCACTGCTATTATATTGGTTTGAATGATTAATTAGTCTTATTTTTATGCAGCTTCTGAATCTAGCTTTGTCATTAGCTATGCACGTGTAGCCTTCCCACGGCTGGAACAAAATGTTACCCTTCAGTTCAGAAGGGTTGCTCAAAACTTTTTATTCCACAACCAGTCTCAAAATAAAGTAATTATAAATAGGAATATCTTTTTTTAATCAAAATGACTGAACATTAAGAAAATAAAATAGAAATATTTCATGGAAAAATTGTTCATCATATTTTTCTAAAAAACTAAGAGTACATGGAATATAATTATCGTGGATAAATTGAAAATGGTATGGAATGCCAAGTGATATCAATATCAAGTAAATTATTTAATTTTTTTTTCAGTACAGTGTTGTTTTTTTTTAATTAGATTCAACAAAAATATATATTTTGTCAGTTGATTAATAACTATTTATTGGGAAAGTTCCTTTCATACAAACACTTATTCTATATACCTTTAATTTTTTCTTGATGATTTTTATTAAACGGGAAAATTACATTATCTTTTCTTAAAAATAAATTTTTTTCATATATTCCATTATCTATATACAGAAATATCAGAGAATATTTTATAGTAATTAATTTACTGTTGACTTTTATGTAGATAGTTTATATTTTCGACAGTATTTAACTTCCTAATGACTACTATACTTCTTATGTTAAATATAATAAATTAAATAGCTAGTGTTGAATCCTGCCAAATATTTCATATAAACTAAATGGGATCTTTTTTATAAATGATGGGGTTTGGCCAAAAGCGATCGTCAGGTGTGTATGCAGCTCAAGGCCTGTGTAAGTATAACTTATGGCAATGATTAAGAGATTTTATCATCATACGCTGTCTTATTTAAAAATAGGTCTCATAAATGGTAACATTGATAATTATATTTATTTTGAGCTATTCTTCGTTATTTTAAATTGTTAAGTGAATAAATATGAGGCTAATATATACAAATTTTAAATCTACGCTTTGCAATATAACATTAAGTTTGTAATCTCGCAAGTAATACAAGTAATACAAGTTTCAAAAGATTAAATTTTCATTTTCAATCGTGAAGTCTGTTTTGCAACAACCATTTTGCTTGCTCAAATTAAAAAATTTTCAAGCTCTTATGATAACTCATATTAGTATATTAAGCTAATATATTTACACACACAAGCCAAAATATATCAGCAGATTCATTGTCTTTTATTCTTTTAACAAGACTCGTTAAAAATTTCAAAATTTCTTAATGGATCTATAAAAAAATTCACAATGAACAGCGACGAAGTAATGAAATAATGTTTTGTACGTTTCTGTTTTGAATTTATGAGCATAAACGATAAAAAAACTTGAAAATTAGCACAAAAAATTATTTCAGTTATAAAACTTGAAATATTAATTTTTATTTAATTTATTTAAATTACAGGTTATTTATAAATAAAACATATAGCTTTTAGTACTGAAAACGGCTATAAATTACAATAACTGCAGCTAATTATTATCAAATTGAATATTACAGCTTTAAAAATAAGGTTTCAGTATAAAAATTGAACTTGTATTTTTATAAATAAATTAAAAATAAAGAGGAAAATGTAAATAAAATCGTTATCCATCGTTTATTCATCACATATGTAAATCACTACATCGTATGCTCAAGTGGATGCGTCACGAGATAGATTATAATTAACATCTATATTTTATATAATTATATGTTTATATAACTATTTAGAAAAAATACGATATTTTTGTAATGTGTACTTGAAATATTCATTAGAAAACATAACGTTTCTCCCAATTAATGTACGTTAAACGTCAGCTTAAATTTAGAAAAAAACATTTAAAATATATTGAACTGTTTACTAAGTATCAAAATATTTTTCATTTGATTATTTTCTGAAAAAATAAATCCATAGAATTGTTTTTATAACGTACCAATACATTTCCAAATTAGCTTCTTTTGATTATTGATATATTCACACACACACACACACACACACACACACACACACACAGGTCTTTATTTGGGTACTTTAGAATAAAACCATATAAAAATTAATTTACCTGGTGTATTGGTTGTTGGTATTGGAGCAGCAGTATAGGGAGGTTGATTTGCAAGTCTACTGTACGAATTTTGTAAAGTAACAATCCCATGTGGTTGTTGTTGATGATGGTGATACTGATGCTGATGATGATTTGAACTCAAGTGCTGTTGAGAGAGTATGCCGTGGAGAAGTTTATTACTAGTCAGAGAACCTGGCTCTGATTTGACAGTGGTCAACGCAAAAACTTCTTTTTCCGTTGATTCGCGCGATTGGGCTGCTCCTAATTCCCTTGTATCCACTATAATCGTAAGAAAAAAAATATGTAGTTAAGAAATCTAGCATTACAAATTTGTATCTATTTTTGTAAAAATTGTTGTTTATTAATGTATCCAGTATCATGTAGTTAGAATATTAAACTATATCGCAAAGTTCATACGGACGTACGCAAGTGTGCGAATGAGTAGAAGTCTCTCTCTCTCTCTCTCTCTCCCCCCCTCTATGGCGAAAAAAAGTGTATTTATCGGTTAATTGGATAATTTCTTGAGAATCAATTTTTGTTAAATTTGGTTTCTTATTATTTTTTTCAGATCAAAAACGACTAAAAGAAAATTTTGTTAATAAAAATTTTGATTCTTTTATCTCTTCAAGGTAGTACTCCTTCAAAGTATTTGACATTTTTGTAATGACGTTATGTTAGTTAATTCCCGTACAACATTAAACTTGTTTTTCCACCAAAAGTTTATTACTCGAAAGACCTGGTGAAATAATAAAAACAAATTTTTTTTACTTAAAATGTATAAAATATTTAAAGTAACTAAAAAACGTATATTCTTTGATAATCATTGGCTGTTTTGGTTATCCATAAATGAAGACAGATTAAGCTGTTATTTTATTAACTTTATTTTAACCAGTTCACAATAGATATGCTTTTTTTTATAAATTTCACTATTATAGTAGCTACTTGTAATTCGATAAGCACTTGTGCCGTAAAGAAAAAAATGTGGTAATCGTGAAATTGCTAGCAAGAGCGAAGGTCAACATTAATCGTGGTCTGATATATTCTATAAGAACAATAGTCAACTTATATGAGATCGGCGTAGTTTTCATTAAAAACACCTGCCGATTAAAAGGAACAAAACTGATTCGAACCCACGGTTGAAATTACATGTGTATTCTTAAATTTTCATTATTTGAATTAAAAAAGGCCCCAGTTAACCCAATGAAAAATATGAAAATCCAACTATGAAAGCATCTCATTAGAAGTATAAGAATGTTGAGGGTATATGCACGACTCCGACAATGATAAAATAATTCAAGATTTTCTTTACACTAGTAATGTCCAGCGCTCTTCGCGCGTTCATTTTTTTCATCTTTTCGTCAGATCTAATTTAATACACAAATATATAGATCAAAACTACTATTAACAGAATTAAAAATTCAAAAATTCAATAAGCATTAAATTTGATATGAGATATATTCGCCGACGATGCTATTTATTTGCCAATAAATATACAGTTACATCGATAAATATGATTGAAAAATATTATCAATGATAATTTATGTTTTTATCATCCGGAGTTCCGTGTTGAAAAATCATTGTTCAAAAGTTCAACAAACACGATAAAAAAATAGAATATAAGTTCTAAAAAGATTTCTTTTCTATAATCATATCTTTCACGATGTAAATAACATACTTTAGCAGACATTTATAGTTATTAACGCATTAAAAAAATATATTTTACTATACTATGACACTGGAATCACTGTACAATATTTTATCGTGATAATCTATCTATTTAAATATTTTATTATTTATATTTAAAATTTTTGTATGTAGTAAAATTCAACTAATTTCTTTGTCGTGGTATCAGTCAAATTTTATTTTGAATTTAGTACGATTAAATTAATCAATTTACATTAAATTCATGACAACGATATTGATACACTTTTTGAACATTTAATCATCTACTAAAATCTGTAGTCTTTCATGAACGTACACAACACACACACACACACACACACACACACACACACACACACACACACACACACATATATACCATCACATAATAGCTTATCATGTGACTATTATTCAACCAATCAAATCACGAATAAATTGATTTAAGTTTATAAGAGGATTTCATTTAATTTAATAGAAACATATACTTATATACTTGAACAATTAATATTCACGAAAACTTTACCTATATTCTGATCTGAATAAACGGCATCTAATTATTTTGTAATATACTTTCTGGTACCAAGAATAATAAAATCACTGTAGTGATCAAGCTCTGTGTACGTATAAGGCGCTTAGGCACAGTAAAATGAATATCTGTCACACATATGTTTACCTATGATTTTATTTATTTGCCAGAACCTTTAAATAAATTTATCTATAGACTGTCATTTATAATCATTTTTTTCGACTTTCAATGAAGAGTGTGCTCTAAAGTATCATTTATTTAAACAAAATAATTGTTAACACGCACGCGCGCGCGCCCGTGTGTGTGAGTGTGATGTGAGATTAAGTAAATGAGAGAAAGTTAAAAAAACTTTAGTTTCTATTTATGTATATGCATATTGCATATACAGTATAATATAGTATAACATAATACTTATTATGCTTCAGCATATAAAGACAAATAAATTACCTATAAAAAGTTTCCTATTTATTAGTTTGATCGACATGTACACATAGACTTTATCTAATATCTGTACAACAGTGTTAACAATAAGTTTTTTTAATAAACAAAACTTTATAACATTTTTCATCGAAAATTGAAAAAGAATATGATAAAAAATATTGTTCAGGGATAATTTTATTCATACAGTTTGGCATAAGTTTTCTATAAATAAACCAAATGAAAGGTAAAGTAAGTAATACAAGTTACTTTCAATTTTTAAATCAGACTTTTTGCAAAAATAACTAAGATACGATAATTTTTATAAATTAATTTTTTCCAGATGATGTGCTGTATACGTATATATATATGTATTTGATCAGCGTCTGAGCGATGCATATGAGCGTGCGTATATATCGTATATATAAATACAAGGTAGCGTATCTTTGTGACAGTCCTTTCGTTAGTTTTTTCTGACGTTTCCAAATGCTCATTTGAACCTCAGAACACTAAAAGTAGAGCTTCGCTCTTTAATAAAATTTGAATAGTGTTTGTACAGTGTTGCACATTAAAAGGTTATTCTGTTGTATTACTAGAATCAAAAAAGATGTGTTACACTGACACCGGAACGTCATCAATTACTAACGAACTAGGCACTTAATTGAACTAACATGATTTTTTTGAAATTGAGCTTTATTAACTTATATATAAGTAATTTAGCTAAACCAACGTCATTTGATTCGCATTACCCTATAATATAAATGAATAGTTATATTGTATTTTATTATTTTTGAAAAATAATAGAACGCTTTTTCGCGCGAGAAAAGTGATGTTAAGAAAAACTATAATGACTACACATTCGAAGGCTTGATACTTAGATATATCACCGTTGCATATACAAGTTCAGATAAGTATATTTTAATTAAGACATTATTATGCATCTTTTACATAACCATAATATAAATTAATGAAATATTTATTGAATAAAATGAAATTAAACTGAAAGTTTGTTAATGTAGATTACTTGCACGTACAGATATCTCGCAAAAGAGGAAGTGAAAGCCACATCGCACTGTTTCAGCGTCTCTCCTTGACCCACTACAACATTTCCATCTTACTTTCAAGCAAGCTCGACGAGTAACGCCATTTCCACCGCTATTAAGTTTATTAAGCAACTTTAGCAGAGACGGGGGCAGGAGGAGAGAGCACGAGCAAGCGTGTACCAAACCAACACGAACAAGCAGAAAAAGCCAATCACGTAATTGCATCATTCAGTGGCAAAAAAATTCAGAATTATGTCGAAAACTTTGAAATAAAAATAAAGTTTATTTATTATTTATCATGTAGAAATAAAAGAAAAAGGGTTTCTCCTTTCAACGAAAGAAATCAATAACATTTTATTGTATGCTATTGTTCGAACATATCGAATAATGACTTATCAAATTACTTGACGAGAATGTAATATTCGGTTGACATTTAGGTCTCGAAAAGAGCGAAACAAAACATCATCAAAACATTGGTCAACTTTTCAAATAAATAGTTTTGTGAGAGAATTATCATTTACTTTTTTGATTACCCGAAAAACTTATTCAAGTTTCTATAATATTTTTAATTACTGATTAAAATATAATATTATTTTCATATATAATGGCATAGGTTAATATATTGAAAGAATTTTCAACAGGTAATTCATAATAATTCATAATAATTAGTGAAAAATTGACTACATTAAAAAACTTTACTTTGTAACAATGTAGTAAATATTATTTGTCAGATTTTTTTTGGTGATGTATATTAAAAACTGTTTCTTGAATCTACATAAAAATGGAAATAGGGTTTATAAAGATAAAATCAATAATGTAAAAAAAATGAAAAAATATACTGATGGACTCAAGTGTTAAACTTTACGTAGAGATCTGAAAGAAAGGGCTGCGTTAGCACACTGAAAGTTAGACGAGCTGACCTTGGTTGACCTTGATCCTTGCTCAAGTCAAGAGTTTGGAGGGAGCGGCGACGGGCAAGCCATCGGTCCGTCTAGCCACATCGACCGGCGTCGACGAAAAGCAGAACCCTCATGACCTTACCCACCCTCTTACCACTGACTACGCACACAAACAACAAGCAGAATTTTAGCATGAAGCTAGTAGCCCTTGATTTTTTGTGCTGCTTGTCTCAGTTCTTGCTTCTTATCTTTCACCCAAGCTAATTTCTCTAACGTACGTTTGTTAACTCTCTCTCTCTATCTCTCTCTCTCTCTCTGTACACACATATATATACACACACACACATACCATACACGAATATGCTATCGATGCTGATCGCTAACCCCCTGCTTGTCAACACTTCCGAACTGATTACAAAGAATGTTTCATACGGACAACACGTTGAAGAGAGGCAGACGAATGTAAAAGTAAGCCGTGTGCCTTAGGCTATTCACTTGTGTCAGCGATCACGTAATGATTACGTGAGATGGACACATGCATACAAGCCAAGCAAGGTCAGTCTTTGACTGGACCATGCAACTTTCTCCTTGTCTCTTTCTCTCTCTCTCTCTCTCTCTCTCTCTCTCTCTCTCTCTCTCTCTCTCTCTCTCTCTCTCTCTCTCTCTCTCTGTTTTTACCTTCCCCTTGCTCACTTTTATCTTTTTGCAGTCACATGATCTATCACGTATCAA